GCAGGACCTATGCAACAAGAGTTGTAGCTTTTGGGTCTGATAAGCTCAGTGAAATCCCCTCAGGATTTATCCTGAGATCCTGTACCTCAGATTGTAGAACTTTTGTCAGTGTCAGCCATGTGGATGAGTCACGGCCATTGCTTGGCCAACATACTCATAGGTGAAATAAACCAGACACACATGTGTAAATATCGTATAGTTTCCCTAGTATAAGCACTCAAAAGAAGACATATAAATAGAAAGGTATAACACAAGTAAAAGGAAAGCAAGAACTCGAGGACTAATTAAGAGAAAGGAGAAGAGCTAGGAAACATGACAGTGACAAGCCATACAGTTATATGTAGAAGATGGGCAAGGAAATGATCCTGAGAATCTCCAGAAGATTTTTGAATCTAGCATTTAATTGGAAAGATTCTCACCCTAACTATATATACTGACACCTGTGAACTAAGCAACTGCACTGAAGATGGCAATTTGTAATAGTAGATTCATGCTTGGAGTGCCTGTCATTCTGGTCTTCTGAATACGGGCTGCTTGTCATGACATGCCAGTTGCTGCTGTGCTATCTCTCGAGTAGATGATTGTTCAAAAAGAAAGGGGTGGTGAATGAAGGCAGGAGACATGAAAAGGAATGTTGTGGGACTGTCCTGCTTCAAGGTTGCATATGGTTAGATTTTTTAACTTACGTGTAAACATAAGAATTATATAATTCTTTATGCCTATTTTTAAAATACATTCTAATTTTTAAATGTTTTTTCATCATATTCTGTAGGGACTTAAAAGTTCAACATATCAATACCTGATGAAAAATACCTGTTCCATGTTATGCCTAAGATGTTTGATATTGAGACAGATAGTGAGTTTAAGCTCAACAGCCTAGGTTGTGTGGTAATAACAATAAACTTCTTCTCTGGAGGGTTAACAACTTAAGTTTGCAGACCAAAATGAGAGAAAAAGGAGGGCTACAAGGAAAGCCAACATTTTGGCCCTAGCCTTCCAAGGTCAATTAAGACTCAGGACATATGAGAACTCTTTGGTATTTATTAAGAACCAATTTGATTAATTTCATTATTAGATTAATACTTTGCAAATGGTGAAATCAAATACAGACATTCCTCATTTAATGACTGAGTTCCATTCCTGTGACTAGGTTATTAAACGAATTTACTACTAAATGAAGAATTACATATAGCATGTATGCCATAATATTCAGAAGAAATGGTCAAAGGAAACCCCAACTTGATGATTCTTTTTATTTACATAATTCATGGATATAGCGCTATATAACAGAACACAAAACTATAGTACTGTACTATGGTGCAATCAGCAAAAATTAAGGTACTGTATAAACAAGGTGTCTTGTATAAAAAGACACCAAGCATCTACAAACATAAGGTACAGAACTATGCAAAAAGGCAGTGATGCTAACACTTCAGTCATTTAACCCTTCAACGTCCTCATCAGTGTCACCATTGGAATTATGAGTAAGAGATACAGAAGGCCCTTGGGGAAAGGAGATAAAAGTGAAATTGGAAGTACAAAAAAGTAGGGGCCAGGTGAGGCTTTGAAAAAACAATCTCAGGGGCTGGGGAGATGGCTCAGTGGAATAAGTGCTTCCCTGGCAAGTTGCAAGGGCCTGGTTCCACAAAAAAAAAAAAAAAAAAAAAAAAAAAAATCAGTGTCGTCTGGTTTTATTTTAAAGTAAGATATCCCTTGGTTTCATTTTAACTTAACCCTTGTGAATACTTCACAAAAATACATATCCAGAAGCAAATAAAACTACACAGTCTGACTAAATATCCAGCCCAGAACAAATAAGTGGTCAGAAGTTCAAAGATAGATAAGCTGCATTAAGTAGCTGGTGAGGTTGTCTGCATAAGCAAAAGGATAACAAAAAGCAACTCTGAATTAAGCATTCTAGTTTTTTTTTCTTTCTTCTTACAAAAAGGAACTGGGAACATATAAAATGGTTGAAAGGTTAGTAGCATGGTAGCATGGTGTTCTTTCATCTTTTTTCTTCATAAAGTTCACAACAGTATCATAAAAGTTCCTTCATCTGCCATTCCACTTTTGTGAACAGTTCAACATTTGGACCCATAGCCTTAGTTCTAACACAGCTGCATACACTTTTGAGAATACATGGTAGACAGTATACTATATAGTATATACACCAAGAAATCTGTGGCATTTTCATGCACAGAATGGAAATACAGAAGCAGAAGAAACTACATGGTGGCACTGCTGCTGGTATTCCCGCATCCTAAGTTGCTGCTGGCATTCCTGCATCCTAAGTCCAAACAGCACCCCTTAAACAGGTTGGTTAAGTGAGGAATATCTGTATATCACTATCAGATTAAATACTCTTGGCTCTTAAAACTAAAGCATCATTTTACCAAAGAGAGATTTATTCTGAGAGGCCTTGTGTATACAATGGCCCGTCTGGCCTCAAACGAGTAATAATGAGCTAGTCTTAAACAGCAGTCTTGTAAAATTGGGTCATGTATGCTTGTTACATGAATTAGAACTAAGTATTTGAAACAGTAATAACCATCCAATGCTTAGATAAGAACACAGTACAGTTAATAGTTTCATGAAATGCATCAAAAGACAAAATTACAATGAATTTAAAGATCTCAATTTGCTTTTTTAAAAATGTATTTGGTACAAGGTCTTACTATGCAGCTAGCACTTGTAGTGACCCTCCTGTTTTCAGCCTCCCCAGTGCTGGGATTACAGGAGTGTGCCACCATGCCCAGTCTCGGTGGCCGGCTCTATGTGCTGGGGGGTGAAGGTGGCACAGCAGATGGTGCTGGGGATAAAACCCCAGAATAAATGTTTTAATGAGCTGAGCAAGGAAGTTGGCATTAAAGCCAGGAAAGGGTAAAGAAAGAAATAAAGAGCAAAAAGTAGGGTGGTCGTTTTAAGGTTATTTTCCCTAGAAGGTGGGGACAGAGAAAAAGAATAATAGAAAAATAACCAGTGAACATTAATTACTTCAGGTAATTTCTTTTGGGTAAGTACTGAAGGAGAAGGAACTTCATTACCATGTTGATTGAAGCCAGCCTGCTAGGGAAACTTGTGTATTACCATATTTCTCTCAATTACCTTGGAAGGTCAGATAACAACTTAATTTTGGTTTGGTGACTTTAGTAAGGGTAACTTTAGTTTGATATTTAGCCTGTTGGGAGGTTGAATTCAAAGCAGTGAGTATAATTGTTATTTTACGAATGTAATTATAAAACAAATATTCATTAAGCAGCACCTTTGGGCCAAGCACTGTGTGAGGTGATTTGGGGTAAGGTAGTGACAAAAAAGAAATCTGCCTTGACATAGCTTTCCGTGTATGGGTAAGATGAGGAACAGTACAGTGTGCTAAGTACAAAGATAAGGAAAGTAAGAAGAGACAACTGAAGCCAGATTTTGGAGGTGGTAGTGTGGTGGGAGGCGATAAAAGAGGGCTTCTTAAAGGTGAATAAAATCATGAAAAATGAAGAAAAGGCAGATAAGTAGTCAAAAGTTGAAAAATCTAGACAGTATGATCACTAACTCTATCTTTAAGGTTTTATAGAGCACTGATTACATCACAGAACTTTTAATCTGCCCTTTGATGGGCAACTCATAATGTTCCTGACTCCCCTGGAACTTAATCCACCCCAATTTATGAATCAGACTATTGAACTGGTCATTAACAAGTTTTCTATGTCAAACGTTGCTTCACAATATGAAGTACTGGAGATCAATTTTCTTTTCCCATTATTTTCGGATTAAATTGTTAACACATAGTTACATACTGAAATATATATATATATGCACATAAAACCAATTTTTCTTAGCGGTATAGTGCTAATTTAAAATTCTAATGATTACCTGTGACATTTGGTAGGCTCTTGCACTTGGTAGGTATCAATAAGAATACTCTCAGAGTTGGACAGATAGCTCAGCAGACTAAGCATCTGCTTTGGCAAGCACAGGGACCAAGCTTTGATTTCAGGTCCTGTACGCTGTGCCAGCCCCACCCCCAGGGCTCACTGAGCCAGAGACTGAGACTGAGCATGGGGGTGCATGCCTGTAATTCCAGAGCTGGGGAGGCTGAAAACAGGAGGATCACTAAGAACCCAAGCTGCGTAGTGATACCCTATACCAAATACATAAAATGGAAAAAAAAAAAGAATACTCTCCGTAAACCTATCATGAAAATAAATCCACACGATTCTGTAACAATATAAGCTATAGCTATAATGAAACGAATTCTGGCCAGACACAATTTTAAAGCTTTAACTTTGTAATCATTCTAATTCTTCTTAAATGATAAAATATAAACCCCAAATAGAAGCTCCACTGAAATAAGTATATAGGATATGAAGAAAATGGCTGAGAGACTGACAAGGTTCATTTGTTAGGAAGTAACTTTATCTTCCAATGAATGACAATCATTATTTACTTATCCTCACTTCACTTTTATTAAAGGTAGAAGGGCACTTACAAAGGTTTTTTTTTAAATTTTCTTTATACCTCCCACATGCTATTATGCCTTAGAAAGGTTTGTCTCATGTTATCTAAACTTCACGTATGATTAAACGTTCTCAGTAGTACGGCTGTAGTTACTCTTTAGCTAGCGTTCCAGGAAGCCCCGTTAGGAGTTTCATTATTTACTCTGCACCATTAATGGCAGCTGGTGCACTTTTGGCCATGATTTTGGTCACGACGCTCACCTGCCATTGTGTATGACAAATTGGCCTTTCCCTCTTGGACTGATTTCTTGCACCATCTATGAGTCAAAATGCTACTGATTTTTTGATACATTAATCATGGATTAAGAATACTTTATAGGGCTGGGGAGCTAGCTCAGTAGGATAAGTGCTCACCTGGCAAGTGCAA